GGGGGTTCTGGGACTGGCTTTATTCTCTAGAGGCTTTCTCATCTGGGCCAAACCCTTTCAGCCCATCACCCCAGGGAGAAAAGAAAAATGGGGAGCACCCTGCTTCTCTCCCAGTGTCTATTTTGCCCATGAATCAAGGCTTAGTGAAGGTTCACATGCCCATTTCTCAGCTGATCACCGTGGCTTGAGGTGGGGAGTAGCCTGCTGGCCAGGCCTCTGGCTCAGGCCCACCTCTGTGACCAGGGGCTTTGGGACCAGCCTTATCTGAGTCACAGCAGATGGGTCCCCACAGAACACAGAGTCCTGCAGTGAAAGGAAGGACCATGAAGTTCCAGAGAGACCAAAGCCACAGAAATCCTCTGCAGAATTCTTCTATTTTTCCACTCAGCAACAGCTCATAAACCCTGTCATTTGCTGAGAAGAACTCATACTTTAGCTACATAGGGATTCCATAATGGTTTTTTTTTCCACATGTTTCTCTTGCATTATTACACACAGTCTGCACAAGCCATCTGCAAATCCCACTGACGCAGTGTGTCCTGCCCCTCTGCCCACCTGACTAGCGTGACAGTGCTGACTTTTGTTTAATGCTTTTGGCTGCAATTTACACAAAGCTGTAATTAAATGTCTTAGATGATGCAGAAAATATATTTTTCCCTCCACGCACGAGGAAGTCCCAGGTTGGGCAGCCCCAGGTTGACCGAGCCCGAGGCTCTGGCTCTGTCCATTTCCACTCTGCCCTCCTTGGCGTCGGCTTCTTCCTCTGTGCGCTGCTGCCCCGGCTGCAGGAGGGCCGCACAGTCAGTCACCACGCCAGACACGACAGCTTCCTGCAGGACACACGACTCCAGCCGCCTTGTATTTCTTTTACCAGGACTGAGACACCTGAGTTACTGGCCCTGAGCTATCCAATAGGGGTGGCAATTGATACTTACATTTTAATTCACTAGAATTCAATAAAATCAAGCCCTGGCCAGGTAAGTCAGTCAGTTAGAGCATCATCCTGACATGCCAAGGTTGTGGGTGTGGTCCACAGTCAGGGCGCACATGAGAAGCAAGCAACGAATGCATCAGTAGCCGAACAACAAATAGATCTCTCGATCTCTCTCTCTGCCTGTCTCTCTTCCTCTCCCTTTCTAAAATCAATACATAAAAATAATTTTTAAAGAGTTCAATAAAAAACAAAAGTTTCCAGTCACGCTCGCCACATTTCCGTTATTATAGGTACCTCTATTGGACACTTCCCTAAATTAATCACTGGCAAGAAGAATGCAGTAACTCTGATTGTCGAGTAAAACATCAGTAGTGAAGCCCACCATTGAGATTTATTAAGCTCTGACTTGGTGCCTTCACTTCGCAGGCAGCTGAGCACCCAGAGACAGACTCGGTCCTTACAGCTCAAGACACTCCCCCACTAGCAGAGGTGACAGACAGGGTATGTCACCCACAGTGAAGGGTGACATTCCTGAACCCTGGACCAAAGGGTCTCAGTGTTCTGTGCAAGGACGGGTGGCTTCTAATGGCGAGCTGGGCAGGTCAGTTTCAGAGCGTGTCTGGGGCGACAGTGCCCAGGGCGGACTGGAGGCCATTGCACCAGTCCTGACGAGCAAAACCGAAGGTTAAGAAAGATGGAAAACAGGAGCCAAAGGTGGGGTGCCTTGCCCCGAAGAGTCTGAGTTGTACCGAAAGTTAAAAACCAGACTGACTTTATAAAAAAAAAGTAGGATTGCAGAATATAGAACGGGGCGAAAAAAGGTTTATGGTTTTATGTATCGAAAATAATACAATAAGTGATAGATGATAATACCAGAATAAACTGTTTCTCATGCCCAAAACCGTAAACCTAGTTTTGCCCCACTCTGTGTTTAGAATGTTTTTGGTTTTCTCCAAGTTCATCTAATAAAATAAACCATTAGGATAAATTGTAAGGGGACCCAAAGACAGCGGCCCATTGTGTGGGATCTGAACCCTCCACAAGAATGTTACTTTTTTTTAAAATAGATTTTTAGAGAGAGAGAGAGAGAAATGTGGATTTGTTGCCCCCCTTACTGATGCATTATTGGTTGCTCCTTGTGTGTGCCCTGGCTGCGGATCACACCCACAACCTCGGCGTGTTGGCACGATGCTCTCACCCACTGAGCCACCCGGCCAGGGCCATGGAGTTTACTTCCAATGTGACTCTCCCCGCTTAACCCTCAGACTGCCCCTGTGCCAGCTGATGTCTGTAGAATGTACCTATTTGCTCTGACTCAGCCATCTAAATTGAGATCCAAATGTTTGTTTAAACTGCAACAGAGCGACTGGGTTGCAGTGATGTCATTTCAAAGGGTTACTGGGTTACATTCCCACGGCCTTTTGGTCCATGAAGAATGGGCTGCGTGGTCAGAGGAATACTTGACTGCACCCGCTTAGCACCACCTGACCCCCTCTCTGGAGCAGCCCAACCTAGCAGGACACCTGTTCTAGTGGTGTCACTGTAGTCACCTCTGCCGGAACCAGTGAGGGCCCCCGGCCGCCCCTTGACCAAGTGTGGTGGACTCGTGGCTTCTCCATTTGTCCAGGCAGCACCCCGACCCCCATCCTTGCAGGCATGTGCCGCCCCGTCCTGAACGTTGAGAGCTGGTGCTCTTTCTCTGTAGGAATAGTGACCTCCCTGCTCTTCACCATGGAGTCAGTGAGGCTTGACCTTCAGGGCCCTCCTTTGTACTGGCCCTTCTAAGGTCCTGGAAGGAGTCTTGCCAATGCATTGGTGCAGCCATGTATTTTTGTGAAATTTCCAAGAGGAAGACATTTTCATTGCAGTTGATTACAAATGCCACCTCTGTTACTCACATTCCCGTCCATTGCCTTTCCCTTCAGGTGGGGTGACATTGGAGGGGTCCCAGCACTGGGGAATCAGCTAAGGGAAAAATGAGTTAAAGGAGAAGTCTAGCCTGGGTGTCTAGGATCCATTTCTGCAGGTTGCGGCCACTCCGATGGACAGCTCTGTCACTGCCAGCCGTCCCAGAACAGAAATGTGTTCTGGAACGCTCCCATCACTACCGTCGTGGTCCTCGGACTCGGTCTGCGCTGTGTGGAAACCTGAACGTGCCCTCAGCGGCTCCACCAGGGACCCGTGAGGAGTGGAGGGATGAAGTGTGAAGTGTGCTGGCCAGAGGTTCTAGACGGAAAATTCTTCCAAACATCAGGCGGGGGCAGGTGTTCAGTGGTGACTCAGTTTTCACGACACCGAATCAGACTGGAGTCCTCTCTTATCAGAAAGGTGCCTGAGATCGTAGCATATGCAATTACGAAAAAAAAGAAATCAATCTTCTTTTTTGTCATTTTTAATGGGAATTGTGAGAAATAGCATTTATGAGAAGTTCCATATTTATAGAGTATATGCTCCACGCAGAACAACAAAAAGCAAGTGTATTTGTAACCATATGTGGTAAAAATGGGAGTTTTATCAAATTTGAACAGAATCATAAAAAACTATATGACATTACCAATAAGAAGTTGGGGAGCTGAAATAAATCTTTTTGAAGTATCAATAATAGTCAAAACTTTGATCAGCCATTCTAGTCTCCAGGAAAGATGGAAATATTAAAATAAGTTTCCCCCTTTAAGTTATGATATCACAAAACAGTTATGCAGAGAGACAATAAAAGAGTTTGCAGGCAAAAGACTTTTTTAAAGGAAAAGATTTTAAAGACATGCAGTAAATAAAAGGCAAAAAGGTCAATAATAAGGCAGGTAAAATATTTTATTTTTCTGGATTTATGTCAACTTCAACTTTTTTAGTTTATTATAACTTTCAATTTAAATAAATATTTATATTTATAATCCTTTTCTAGTCATAATTTTTATTTTTCAGACAGCTTTAAGTTGTTCAGTTTATTATAATTATTTCAATTCCAATACATGTTTGTATTTATGATCACTTTTCTAGTCATCGTTATATTTTGGACAGAGGATCCCCAAACCTAAAAAGCTTCAGCCCCACCCCCAAGCCTGGATTAACAAGAAACCGAGGGAGAAACTGAGGCAATATTGAAGGTACTTTTGTTTCACTCGTAGCTGGTGCTTTGTGTTTCTGTGTCAGCCTCTGCTCCAAGAAAACAGTCTTTGTGCCCTTGGAACTGGAAAGCCCACCTTCCACTGGGCCCACCAAGGGGGCAGCACGGAATGACAACAGACACTGGATTTGGGGGGGGGATTTGGACTTTCCAGTGGACTTCTGTAAACTGAGGATCTTGTCATCTGTCGAGTAAGAGCTTGGGGTTAGTGGGGCTGAAGGTTCCTTTCCGGGGCTGTTTCTGATTCTGAAGCTGCCCGTGGCTGCGCCAAGGTGTTCCATGACCGGCGGTGCAGGGCACAGAAGAATGGCTGATGAATTTTTAATTTGCAGCTAACTGCTGCTGCGTTTGGGCAACCCGATCGTTCCCGTAAGTAGGTTAAACATATCCCTCTCATATTATTTGCATTCTTCAATTATCTAAATATCTTTTTTCATAACAGGGCCAAGGTAAACTTTTGCACCGTCCCCTTCTGCTGGCAGGAATCACAAACTCCGTGGGTATGAACCCGAAGTGGCACGGCTTCATGGTACGGTTGCACCTCCATGTCCATGTCTATGTGCCTCCGAAGTTTTCCTTGCAGATGTGATCCTGGTGGGTACACTGAGCAGGGGTAATTATCTCCATTTAACTGATTTGGAAACTGAAACAGAAAAAGGCTAAATCTTTGTCTAGAGGCAGAAGGAACTGGAATCCAAGTCCTGCAGTGCCCACCCCCCCTGTGATGGTCAGGACATGGGAATAGATGTCTGGGATGGAGAAGCGGACACTCTGTTGTCCTCAGTGACAGGCGTATATTATTAGCCAAAAGCCCTAGGGTTTTATGACAATGAGAACATTCCTCTTTACTGGCCCTTACTCAGTCCTTTCCTTCCACCTATTCCTATTCACTTGGGGTTTCACTTTTTAAAAAATGTATGTTTTTCAGGTTCGTTTTTAAAGCTATAAGCACCAAATTATTGAACACCCCTGCCTATACCATGCCATCTGAAGCCATGAGGCCCATCTTCAAGATGCCTGTTCTACCTCTAATGATGGTTTTCCCATGATGCATCTGGCTACCTCGGTTCAGGTACCACTTCCTCCAGGAAGTCTTCCCTGACCATCACCTTCTCCCCTGCATATCCCAGCCCAAAATCAGGTCTATTATGGAACATGAGTGGCAGAGTGATGCCCATGCAGAGTGAGAACAATGCTTATCCATTGTCTGGGACAGATCTGGAATTCATGTTAAATATTAGGAGCAACTGAGAGTAGCCATTCCCTGAATGTAAGTGAAACACTGTCCTGGTCCCCCTGCCAGCCCCAGTGCACAGCTAAACGTGCTGGCCAAGTGACGAGTCGCATCAGATGGCTCCGAGTCTGCAGAACAAGATAGCGTGTATGGGCACGGGTTGGCTGTCTGGCTCCGGCTCCTTCTCACTGACCTGCTCTCCGCTGAGCACTTAAGATTAGGTGGTTTATCCCAGAGCAGTTAGGCCACAGGAACCTCCCGCTACAGTGCATCTCAGGGTTTGTGCGCCTACCTGCACAGGGGCCTCTATTCAAATATTGATGACCCACAGCTTTGTGACAGCCGGTGCCTCGCTGCTCCACTCTCTCAGTGAAGGAGGGGGGGCCTTCCTCTGAGAGGGGGGCTGCTCAGGTGAGAGCTGGGTTTCTGAGAAGGGCGGACAGCTCGCGGGTGTGCACCTGACCACACGTATTTTTATGTGTGAATGATTCAGCGCAGCTCTGGGCCCAAGCCTGGTAGTCTGAGGCCTCCCGTTGTCAGGACTCACTTTTGTGGCAGGGTCTGTCCAGCCTAATTGTCCAATCACTGTCCTCCATGACTTCATTAGGCTACTGGGGACACTCGAAGTCACCAGTGCAATCAAAATTTCAGCCCCCATTAACACAAATAAAATCCAAATGAAAGAATCGCAATGTCGAACTCTAGTTTCTCAGAGTTTTTAATGGAGAAAAACGTATCTTGGTTTTATTATCTACTCAAGTACTGCTTTGTAAGGCCCCTTCCTACTGACATTTACTCTCCCTGATAAAGGCATATGTTTCTAGTGTCCCCTGCATATCTGTGCCATTTCCTGTTCTCTGTTAATCTACAGCTACCGGAAGGGAAGGGATGCATGAAGGAGGAAAAGATAACTCTTGCTTAAAGAGCACCATCCAATGCCAAGGTGTGTACAATGAATATGTTTTTCTATGACTCCCCACAACTTTAACAGGTCGGTATTAGGACCCCCTTCACCAGTGAGTGAACTGAGCCTCCTGAAAGTTATGCAGTTCACCCAGGGTTACACAGGGAGTGGATCTGGCCTGCTCCGCCCCCCAGGACCCAGCTGCAACACTCCGATGCGTGAGTCACATTTACGACAGCTAACAACCTGTTAACCTTGGGGTGCCTGGGCCCTCAGCACATGAAATCCACCTGCATTTTCCAGTTGCTGACATGTTCACGAGTCTGACATTCTAGCACAGGAAGACAGACGTACAAGATGTTTTATGTAGGAAAACCGCTGATAACGGCTAATCTTCTAGACAGGACCCAAAGAACAGACAGTCCATTATTTTTCTAACTGTTCCTAATGTGAAAGGACCTTCGTCAGTGTTCCAGCCTTGGCAGGAAGAATCTGGGATGTGAACCAGAACCTGCTCTTCTCCTTGATTGTAAGGGGATCTTGGTTTTGTCATTCAACTTTGCCGAGTCCTACCTTCCTCATCTGTAAAATGGGCACAATAAATTACACTGAAGGCATCACCAGACTAAAGCTCTTTTTGAAACTCCTATTCGGGTTTCTTGGCTTTCGTCTAAGAAATCTAACCAAGATGTGAAGTAGACACGTGGTCGGATAATAGTGACTGATGGTCACTGCTCATTGCGTGCGGGCACCGTGCTAAGTGCCTTCAGTCATCATTTCGTTTAATCCTCGCAGCACCGTGAGTGCTGCTGTTATCCCCACTTTACAGATGGGGAACAGGACGCCGAAAAGTCGGAAACCTCACAGGTCACAGAGGTGGGAAGCAGGGGATGTGGGTTGGCATGGAAACCAGACGGCCGCCTTCCAGAGCCCACGCTACTCACCACTGCGCACACTGCTTCCCGTGTGTGAGTGTGACGATGCTCGGGGTGTCACGCAGTTGGGTGAATTGTTAAGGGACATCTGACCTGCGTGCTCCTGCCAGAATATTCCCGCCCAAATGTCTACCTGCTGCTCCGGCACCGTGGAGTGTAGCTTGGTGGTCCCCAGCACCACCTGCAATATGTCAGTTCCAGGAGCTCTGCCGGCCTCTGTTACCTTCCCTCAGCCACCACCACCCTCTGGCTTTTCCCTGTGCCATTCTCAGTAGCTTCTTGTGTCTACTCAGGCTCTTCCTCCTGCTTGACCCCCGGGAAGCCTTCCCAGACCCCTGGATTCGGCTACCTGGCTGCCTTCTGTTGGATCGTGAGCATCCTGCACTTCCCTCTGTGCTGGCAGGACCTCGTCAGGGGACACCCTTTCCTCCTGTGGCTGCGGCCCTGTCCTATGCTGACTGCACCTCAGTCGGCTTCACGTTATCAGCACCTCAGACTGCCCATGGTTAAATTTGTCCCCAGCCAGTCTTTAAAAATTTGGATCCTAGAACAGATGAAGGACATTATAATGGGACAAGAGGTGAACTCCAAGCAAAGTCTGTCCTTAGGTAGGTTAATACTACCGTACCAGGTTCAATTTCCTAGTTTTGGCAAATATAGCATGGTTATGGGTATATGAGGTGTTAATGTCAGAGGAAGCTGGGTGAAGGTTATACGGGGCCTTTCTAGACCATCTTTGTGACGCTTCAATAAATGAAAACTTATTTCCAAATGAAAACTTCAAAACTCCATCATTAGATGGCTTTGCAGCGAAGTGTTCAAGGCCACCCTTTTGGAGTCAGACAGACCTAAATTACAACCCTAACTCCCGAACCACGCACTACCTATACTGCAGGGTCTTAGGCAAATCAGAGTCATGCAGTCTCCCTGAACCTCACTGTGCAATGGCCTGGCACAGGGAGACACTCACTGGACAGCAGTTGCCTCTGTTGCAGTAAGCATTAGAGTCTCAGCCAAGGGTTCTTACTGTAACAACAGGTTAAGAATATGGCCTGCACTTCCCTCTGCAGTCTTTTTCCGATGCACACCTCCTAGCATCCCGACACACCCTATACTCAAGCCACATCCACTGTCTACTCAGTGAATACCTCCAAGTGTTCTAGCTGTTGTCCTGGCTGGTGACAGAGCAATGAATGACGCCGATAAAAAGTTGCCACTGCGAACAACTTATATGCTGGTGGAGATGGACAGGCGATACATAAACAAAGTTTATAGTGTGCTGATTCTCAGAGTGGCCCCCGTCCAGCAGCATGAGAATCACCTGGCAGCTTGTTAGAAATGCACATTCTCGGGCCCCACCCCAGACAAATGCACATTCTCAGGCCCCACCCCAGACCCACTGGCTCAGAGACCTGGGGGTGGGGCCCCCCCAGACAGCTTTGACAAGCCTTCCAGGTGATTCTGGTAAGTACTCAGTTTCAGAACCACTGATGGAGCATGTCAGGGATCACCGGTGTACTGGAGAAACTAAAGCAGGAAAGGGGGTGGTGTGTCAGAGTGAGGAGGGAGCGTTACAGTCTTAAGTAGGGTGGTCAAACAAAGCCGAAGCCATGCCCTGGCTGGTGTGGCTCAGTGGATTGAGTGCCAACCTGAAAATTAAGGGGTCACTGCTTTGATTCCACTCGGGGCACGTGCCTGGGTTGCAGGCCAAGTTCCCAGTTGGGGGAGTGTGTGGAAGAGGCAACCACATATTGATATTTCTTTCATTCTCTTTCTTGTTCCCTTCCCCTCTCTAAAATAAATTAAATAAGTAATTTTTTTTTTTAAAAAGCCAGAGTCATAAGGAGCATGAGGGAGTGGGCCTCCAAGGTATCCTGAGGAAGACTGTCTTAGGCAGAAGCAATGCCAAGTTCAAAGGCACTGGGGTGTTGCAAGAACAGCAAGGAGACCCGAGCAGCTGGACTGGGTGAGCAAAGGGGAGCGAGCAGGAGGAGCGGGGGCAGAGGTCATGGGGCTCCAGAGCTCGAAGGGACTTAAAAAGCCGTTGCAAAGAGTTTGACATTTCCATATTGAACTACAGTTCTTCCAAAGAACACCCTACCTTTTCCTACCCAGGTTGGAGTTCTCCCTCACCCCGCACCCACCGCCTGGCCTAGTCAATGGTCCAGTTCCTCTCTTTCTTAGTTTCCCCATCACATGCTGTCAGAACGAGCCTCTCCCATCCCCAACTTCTGCAGGCACCTTGGTTTATCCCAAGCCACAGTGTACCTTCCCTAAATATAGGTTTTGCCTGTATTTTGCCCTGTTGGATTGTGTCCCCCCAAAACAGAAACTTAGCCCTTTCCCATCTGTATCCCCACTGCCCATCACGGTGTCTGATGCTACAGAAGTATTGACTGAATTTCTCTTAATGCATCAGGAGAGAAACCAGCACATTACTGGCACTGGGCAAATACTGCAAATGTTGCCAGTGACTTTGCAGTTTTCCCCCGAGGTAATAAGAAGAAAAACATAGAGATGGACTTGCAAACCACCAGAGTGTTTTGGATGTAGCTGTGGGACTGGTCCAGAGTTGGACTAAAACCTGCACTGTCACCCCCAGCCTCCCTCCCTTTGTGCCTGACGGCCTGACCGGTTCTGTTGCCGGCGGCTCAGGGATGGCCAGGGTGTCAGAGGTTCCCTGCTAGCCTTGGGCCCACATGCACCAAGGTGGGAGGTGGGCTTGAACTCCAGCCCTACCACCCTCAGGCATCGCCAACCTTTTTCTTTTTTTGAATATCAGGAATCCTTTTAGCATCTGGGGAAACCTGTGAGATGTTACCCTATTGTGAGGTTTGAAATGCACAAGATAAAAAAACCTAAGATTATGGAGAAAACACATTTTCCTGAAATACAATTGAAATCATGTAAAAAGTTACCAGGTTATTAAAAAAATAAAATTGTTAGGGTAGTACTTTTGCCTCAGCATTAAGACATGAAGTCACAAGATCTAGAGGCACATTCAGTCGGTGCAAAATTCTGACGGAGTGATGAGCATGAGAGAAATTCACAACTGTCGAGGTGTGAAATTTATCTGCAGTTCCCAGCACTGACATTGACCGAGGTGCTGCCCTTACTATAGTGCTTTTGGGTCCCGTTCACGATCGAGGGGAAGCGCCAAAATTTAGCTTGTTCCTGAGTCTGGCCGTTAGAGGTTGGTAGGGGAAAAAGTACTTTTTCTATCCCATTTTACTCTGCATGCTACACCAAGACCCCTTCAACCCAGAATATAAGTTGGGATACATTACTTTACCTTTCGAAATTTCAATATTCACATCTGTAAAATGACGCCTAATTGGCAGCTGTTTTATTTTATTTTTTTCCCCCAGCAGGAGTGGCAGGAGTTAAAGGAGGCACAGTCTCCCCATCATCTGGAATATACTCTAGGTCAGATCTCCGGTTGACCCATCTGACATTCATCTTTTTCAGCTGAGAATCCAGACTCGAGCAGCCGTGGGGGGAGAAAGCCTTTCAACTTGAAGAGTAAGTGCCCCTGAGGCGCTGCCACCCTGCATTCTAGCCACGCCCACCTCCAGCCCAGAGTCGGGGAGCAGGCACTGCTCAGGCCTGGAGGAACTGTGGGTGGCTTCCAAAAGGCCACAATGCTTGGGACAATCTACCCTAGCTCACTCCTCTTCCAGAGGACCTGTTAGGAAGGGTACACTGTTTGCCAAACAAGATCACCTTTCGTCTATAGTTGCGGTTTCAAAGAGGATTTTCTCAAAACTCAGCAGTGCACTTAATTACCACCTGGCATGTGCCTGCCTAACCCATATATTCTAACTCATTCTCCAATTAATTTCCATCTTAAAATAGCATCTTTACTATCCTTAAGTGACATTAAGTTGGGTTTTTAAGCCCTTGAAAGGTATTTCCTCTGGGCCCAGGCCTCCAGAACTGCCCTCTTCAGAGACCACGTGATCTCTTTAAGCGCCATGGTGCACAGCCCCTTGAACTTCAGTCTGCGTCAGAGTCACCCAAGGAATCCAGTCAAACACAGATTGCTGAGTCCACCCAGAGACTCTGAGTCACTAGGCTTGGGGCAGGGGAAGGGGGCAGGCTCCTGAGAATCTGCATTTCTAACACACTCTCAGGTTCCTTTACCTCTGTGGGCCCACTGTCCTCATTATTAAACCAGGGCAATAATACTTTCTTTACACAGATGTTGAAAGGACTGGAAAAAGATATATAAATATATTCAATGCACGAAGCCCCTAACAAGTTTAATAACTACTAATTCCCACGATGGTGCACTGTGGAAAGAAGGCTGAAAGGGGCTGAAGATGCCGCCAGAGCCGTCTTAAGGAAGAAGCCGAAATTAGCTGGGGAAGAAGGGAGCAAAGGACATTCCCAGAATAAAGGGCAGTGTTCCGTGCCGGGGACCTGAAAAACACAGCCAGTTGAGAAAGCTGCCAGAGGTTACACTTGGCTGCAGCAGGTGCGTGGATGATATGTGCATGAGCAGGGACTTGAAAACAAGGGCCTTTTGTGCTGTTAAAGAACAACAAGAAAGAAAGAAAAGAAACAACAGGCCAAAATGGAGTCACCTTTGCTAACCACATCACCAAACAAAAACTTAATAACCAACATCAGTGCAGCTTCAGCCTCTCCCAGGAATGGAATTTTAAACCGATCTGTCTGAAATTTGCTGGTCAATGCTTAGGTGCAAGTTAGATCCACAGGAAGAGAGGAAATAGCCCAAGGAGTGTAAAGCACGAGAGAAAACCTGAGGGCTGGATTCTGGGAAAAACAACATTTATGAGTAATCCCTAATGGAGCTCAAGTCAAGGTTAATGACCACGGGCAGGGCCTGAGTTTCCTGTTCTCGGAATATCTGTACTCAAGCACACTCTGGTTCAAGTGGACGTCAAAGTCAGCCCTGGTCAGTGGCACCCGCCACATCCAATGCAGCACTTCGATGGTAGAAGTAATATAAGGAGATGCCACCCCAGGGCCACAGGGACCGAGCAGGGAGCTAGAACGAAAGGTCATCCTCTAGAGATGGGCCTCTTCTCCAAAAATTGTTGCATACCTGAGACCCCTGCATCTGCCAAAGCTGAGAATTCATCTGCTGGAAGAAAGACATTGTGAAGCATGCACTGTCACAAAAATAAATACTGTTCCCTTTTCTCTTCCTTGAGACAAACAGGACACCCACCACGAGTCCTGTTTCATGCTGCCTAAGCTATCCCACTGGGCCGGGCCGAACCAACCGCGAACCGGCAGGATCCCCCTGCCTAAGCTATCCCACTGGGCCGGGCCGAACCAACCGCGAACCGGCAGGATCCCCCTGCCTAAGCTATCCCACTGGGCCGGGCCGAACCACCGTGAACCGGCAGGATCCCCCTGCCTAAGCTATCCCACTGGGCCGGGCCGAACCACCGCGAACCGGCAGGATCCCCCTGCCTAAGCTATCCCATTGGGCCGGGCCGAACCACCGCGAACCGGCAGGATCCCCCTGCAGCCGGGCCTGAGCTCGCCCTTCCCGCCACAGGTTTCGGAACTGTCTGATCTGCAGGAGGACAAATGCCCTGCCCACCCAGGTAAGGGGAAGGTGGAAAACTGGCACGGGGTCTGCGCTCTTTCTACATGGGACCGACCAGCAGAGCAGAGACTGGAAAAGCCCACAGGGAGGAGGGAGCACCTGCCTCATGTAGGCGGTCCCAGGTTGGCCCGGACCGAGGGCCATTCCCGTGTCCCTTTGTCCCCACTTAAGGAGATTCAGTGCTGACAAAAATACAATCAGACACACTGGGGCAATTTCATATACGTCTCCCCATCTCTTCCCCTTAAAGAGTGAATCTAAGTAGAAGTTGATTCTCTCTAATTTTAGGAAATACATTATGCAAAAATGAGGCACACCTGCCTGGGGCCTAGACCTCCCCAAATAATCAACAAGCCTTAGTTATTCCCAAAGATGTCTTCTTCAAAGAAAACCTGTGGCCTAATTCTTGAAAAAACGCAGCCCCCCACCCCCCGCAATTTCACAGAGACAGGGCCTGCAGTGTGGACGTTCAGGATGGGGACTGAGCTTTGACAAGACTGTCACGGGCTAGAAAAATACAGGAAAGGTTTAGTCAGAAGGAACGAAAACACTGTGTACGGTGGATATCTGATCTCCGCCAACCTATCTTTATTACAGCTGGGGCGGGTGGGGTGGGAGAAGCAGTTCTAAAACCACCAGACCGTGGCTACAGAACTGTAGGGGGGCGAGAGGCCTTCCTCGGGGGGCACGGCTTCTCTAGCACCCAGACACACCTGTGCCCGGCCAAGAGCCGTGGCATCGGACCTTTAAGTACCTTGGTCTGGAACATGCTATTCTCACAGGCTGCACCTGTGAACTTCCTGGAACAGTGTGTTCCCATTTGAGATGACTCCCTGGAATGCAAAGACTTCAGCTGTGGGTCTAAAGAGACCCTCCTCCAAGGTGGAGCCCCATCACTCTAGAGAAGGAAGGGAAAGTCCTAATGGTTCCCAAGAGGGCGGGAAGGGGCTGGTGGGAGCTTACGCAGCCTCACGGTCATTTCTGATGTTCCCCAGGTGGGCCCCAGCTGCCAACCCAAGGTGAACTTCAAGGCCCGAGCCAAACAGTAAAAAAGGTCTCTCCACTGTGTTGTTATACAGATAAATGCATCTTTAAGGAAGTGCTTGTACAAGCCCCTTGACCACAAGCTGTGGAGGCAGGAAAGCTGTTCTCTTCAGGATTAGATGCCGATGCAATCCCTGCGGGTGGGATTAGGTAAGAATGCACCTGGGTGCCGTTGGGACAGTTCTGTTTGTGTGTTTGTTTTCTGTGGGGCAGTTTCCCAGACGAAACCTACACGGGCACACTTGCAAAGGCCCAGCTGCTCAGGTGGCATCAGAAGCAGGTCATTTCTGATTCCCTTCCCTCCTCGACTCCCCCTGCCCCTCTGCAGCCTCCTTCGGGTCACCTCCTGGGACCCCCAAGTCCCCTGCCCTCAGCTGGGAACACAGACTGAATATCACTAAGTGTCTGCTCCTGGCTTGGGTTCCTGGTCACCATTAGGCTGGAGAAGCAGAGCAGCCCCCTTCTCAAGAGAGCGTGGCATCCTGCAGCTGGTTGGGCGTGCTGGCTACGCCACGGTGCCCCGGAGACCTGGTGTGAGGCTGCCGTGGTCCAGCAGCTCCGCTCCGAGATGGGGGCTGTGGGTGGGTCTCCTGGTGTTTCACTGTATAAGCCCCAACCCAGGAAGGGCCTCGCTGGGCTGCCTCCTTTGACCCCGTGTAGCACTCACTGCTGGCAAGTGCGAATAACGCCCAAATTCCAGAATTACACCATCTCAGAGTGAATGTGTCCTCACTACCTACACCAAAAACCGATGAATGCATTCTGATCGAGCAGCAAGAGAGAAGGGTTACCTTATTTCCAAGTATCTTATGTCAACAACCCATTTTAGGTTCTGTATTTGCCACTCCTGAATAATTAAAAGTCAAGGTCAACACGTCACTGAAGGAACCCATAATTACCATCCACGCACAAGCATTAGACTCACTAAATTGACTCGGATTGTTCTTAAAAGGGTGGCAGGAGAGCTGGAGCTTGGCCTCGATTTTTATTTAGGGAAGCAGCCCTTTGCGCTTTCATAATGTTTGCTTTCATAAGGAAATCAAAGCACATTTAAGGTAAAGGTCCTGCGTAAATGACACAGCCACCTTCTAGATGGACAGCACGGGGCTTTGAGGAATAGCAACGCCACCATCTTCATAGCAGCTGATGGGAGGAATGCCAGGTACCATCAAACCCCGCACCTCCTTCTTTCCGCAAGAAAGGAAACAGAGGTCCCGGTGGGGGAAGGAGCCTTCTTCAGACCCCAGGGCCAGCGGGTCGGCAGACAGACCTGAGAGCCCCTGTGTTACCAGCTGCAAATGCAATGCTTTCCCCACTCCCACCTGTCATAACAAGCGAGGCAGTTAGTGAACGCCTCCCAGAATTGCTGCTTTGCCTACAGTGTGATTTGCATAGCAGTCATCAGACACCCGGATGCACGGCAGGTGAGGACAGCCTGCGTCAGCTATGCCCAGCACACATTTGTTACGAAAGGAGTGATTCCAGGCTTTCGCATGCCACCTTCCTGGGTTGGGCCTCCGTGGACAGGCTGGCAGGCTGGCAGGCTGGCGGGCTGGGGGTATTTCTGAAAAGCGAGTGGGGGGAAGGCCAGGACACAGCAGAAGGAGGCGTCTGGGGCAGCCCAGTGGTTCTCATCCCTAGACGCATTAGAATCAGATTCTTTTTTTTTAAAAAAGATTTTATTTATTTATTTTCAGAGAGAGAGGGAGGGGGAGAGAAACACCAACTGGTTGCCTCTCCCACGCACCCTACTAGGTACCTGGCCTGCCAGCCAGGTATGTTCCCTGACTGGGAATCGAACCAGTGACTCTTTGGTTCACAGGCTGGTGCTCGATCCACTGAGCCACACCAGCCAGGGCCAGAGAGATTTTTTGAGAGTTCCAATGTTAGGCTCCACCTCCAGAGATTCTGTTTGAGGGGACTGGGGGTGGGATCCAGGCGCTGGCATTTTCCCAGCTTTCTTTGATGATGCGGGGTGCAGATAGGGTGGAGAACCACGGGAGACGAGGTCTGGGTGTCAGTCAGCGCTGGGCTGAATATCCCCAACCCCGTCACCCAGAACTCTTCTGAGTTTCCCTCGTTATATTAAAGGGAAAGAAAAGACAAAAATCCTATCCTGTTGGTGGCTGTGAGCATTCAGTTAGATTGGTATGTAAAGCATGCAGTTGTCTCTCAATGAATTCCACTCTTCCTCCCTTTAAAGAAGGGAGGAAGTATCCTGAAGTCATCCGGTGAGAGAGCAGGTGAGGACAAGGAGAGGGGCCGGGCAGCGTGAAAGGTCTCTGGCCCCGGGTCAGTGTATCAGAATTCTTTGCCGCCTTCTGCTCTCTCCCTTTTTTCTAGAAGAACTATCCGTGTCACGCGGTGGCTGGGCACACCTGATTGGCCAGGCCGTGGTGCTGCCCACTCAGGGATCTGCATTACTTCGGGTGGGGAGGCTGCTTGTACTGACTCAGTACAGGTACCTGCTGTGGGCGTTAGGCCATCGGGAGAACCTTTGTGGGGGAACAGGGGGAGGACAGGAGACTGACCAGGGGCAGAGACGAAGTTCTCTGTCAGACACGCCCTGGTGTGTGTCTTCTACCTGCCTGTGGTGATTTTCTGCCAACCCAGCCCTCACAAGATGCCTCAGTGAGTTTGCAAATAATTCAAGAAGGCCCTTCCCAGGGACATCAGATACCATTTCCATTCTCATCTCTGAATGTACAGCCTATGGAAAATTCTGGAGGCAGGGCATGGAGCTAGAGTGAATAAATAGCAACAACTGATGCCTTGGGTTCTTAAAGCCACCCTGGGCTCAATGGCAAAAACTGTACCCCAGGCTTGATTTCTCTTTATTCCTCTTGCACTTCACAAGCTGGGGGAAATGGGGGCGCAGGAATCAGAGTTCTTGCCTCCTGGACAACCCTGCGCTTGACCGCTGTGTGGCATCAGCCTGCGTCCAGCACCGGCACAGTAGGGTTCCCCACCCGCAGCCAAAGGGGCTGCCTCTGCTGGGCTGTGGGGTGGGTGTGGCCTTTTGTTCTCCAGCCAGCCTTTGTGCAGAGCTCCGCCGGCTCCGGCCGCCGGCTCCGGCCGCCTTCCTGGGTCCAGGTTCTTTCCCAGCACCCACACCCAGGGGCAGGGTCTCCCTGAGTTCCAGCTACAGAAGCGCCCGCAGGCCGGAAGCTCTGTCCCCCGGCGTCACAGTTTGGCTCAGGTGGGAGAGGCGGGCAGCAGTGTGGTACGGGGAAGTGATGGTGGTCTTCGCTGTGGCGCCTTGTTCACCACGATGGGTGGCAGCTCTCTGCCACTGATGTTCAGAATATTCAAGTGGCAGGACGGCCCTGGGTTCCCCACAAACTTGGGGTCCTGCTCCCTTCCCTCGCCCAGAGGTCCCCGCCCCATTCCCTGAAGTCATCAGGCACATGAGCCATTCAAGTGTGCAGCTGTTTTTACTGCAGTGTGAAGGATTTTCGGGGTACAAACTATATTTAGAAAAGGTTAAAGTTCATGTGAAAAAATCAGTGAGGCACAAGGGGAAAACATTAAACAGCCTGTGGACTTTTGTAGTCCTGCTCTGTCTCCTAATTCCTCCTACAGATACATGGAGCCAGGGGTCCCCAACCCCAGGGCCATGGACTGGAGGCCTCTTAGGAACTGGGCCGCACAGCAGAACATAAGCGACAGGCGAGGGAGCCAGGCTTCGCTTGCACCTGTCTCACACCCCCAACCCCCTGTCTGGGGAAAAATGGTCTTTTACGAAACTAGTCCCAGGTGCCAAAAGACTGGGGACCACTGACTTAAGCCCTTTATTTTCCATAGGAAAGGAAGTCTGTTCATTTTCATGTCCCTCCTTTCACCTCAGGTGGTGATTTTCTTATAACTATCAGAGCCCTTGATTTAACAGGGATCTCCAAGGAAATGTTAAATGGGACCCTTTCCAGTGTTGGAAAATACAGCCTAGGAATTCTTAGAAATGCAAGCCACCCACCTAGAGGCTTGACTTGTCAACAGTAGGTGGCTTTCCAGGCCACGGTACTGAGAGAGGGTTGTGTTTGAGGTGTGTGAATTGGCATTAAAACGGAGAGGAGGGCTCGAACCTAGACCATCAGTGAGCGAGGACCTGGAGACCAGGGTGCGGGCCTGCGTGTGCAGCCTGACACTCGCCCAGGTGGCCCTTCAGCTGCCAGAAGTGCTGCCTGTAAGAGCCTCAGCTGTCTGCTGGTGCTGGGGGGGCCTGGCCAAAGAGAGTCCCCTCGAGCCAGGTGAACCCCCCTTCCTGGGGCAGCCTGCAACCAGGGCCTGGCCCCTTCACCTTGACTCAGGCCCACTGTAGAGCACCAGCCCCACTGCAGAGCCTTGGGGCCCGGGAGCCTTGCTGGGCTGCCTCTGCCCTTGCCCAGGTGGAAATCTTGGCTGCACTTCTCAGTACACTGAGTCCTTACTTAACACCACTAACAGGTTCCTGGAACTACAGCAAAACTTCGTACCTACAGTGAAACCTATTTTACCAAAGGTTAATTGATCTAAACAAGAGTTAAGTTGTTAACACTCATCAACACTATAATGAACTGACATTATTCAAGGACCTGCAGTACACACCCATGTTCTGTCTCCATCTCAGAGTCTGCTCCCCAGGGAGCCCCACCCGAGATGATGGCCAGAGCACCTCGGCCACAGCTTTTGAACTGAGTGCCATTCCCATGTCCACTTTTGGGGGCGTTGCCACCATCATCAGGGAAGCTCTTCCAGTGCAAATGGTAGATGCTCTCCGCTGCCTCCACTTGGCTGCGGAAGTGCCGTCACTGTCTTGGGTGAGGGGACCAGAAGTGCAGAAGTGCAGCCTCCATCCTAGACCAACTGAGTGAGAACCTATGTGTTCACAAGCCCCCCCCCCCAATGCTTCAGATGGGTCTTCATGCTTGGGGGGTGGCGGCGGCCGTGCACATCGGATGAGAGACTGAGTAGCCCCGACTACTGGGAGCACAGAAGCAGCACCCTGCCCTGGAGGAGGTGTCTGCTTTTAGCCTAGATGTTCTTGTTCCTACTAAAAGCAGTTTTAAAACCCTCTATTTTTCCAGAATCCAATCACAAGCAAAAGGATGAAAAGCAGGCAGATGGTCAGACGACAAATTGCTCAGGTTGGGGAACAGAGCTGCAATGTTTTTTCTTCTTGGTGTTGTCACCATTTATTTGTTTATCTTTAAACACACAGTGTTATTTTGCCTTGGTCTCAGGTGTGCAGCATGGTGGCTAGACAGTCACATACTTTACAAAGGGTCTCTTTCTCCGGTATTTCCAGTGCCCACCTGACACCACACCTAGGTGTCGTGATGCTGTTGGCTTGGCTTTGTCGCTGTGCCGTACCGGCTACCCCATGGCCGCTTTCTAACTACCAGTTCATACTTCTTCATCCTTCGCCTCTTTCACCCGGTCCCCTAACCTGGAGCTATGATATTAAGCAAAAAAAGAAAAAGCATGTATGTAAAGTGCCAGCATCTCCCAGAATATAGAGAAAAGATGGGATACTTCCCTTCCAAAACAATAGGTGGGCTTTGAACTCGGCCGTGACTTAGAACTTTCCCACATGACCCTAAGGAGACCCACATAAGAAAAGTCCCCAAGGGAATGCACACACACGCATGGACACATGTGCTCTGCTCTGTCTACACGTTCTCCTCGGTTCCTCAGTGCACCTGACTAGTTCCCACTAGAATGACAGCAGTTGGTAGTAGGTAACATGCCAACATGCTCCTGTGTAAGGAAATGCTTCTATGGTCTCACCTCATAGGGAGGTTCCCTCATTTTCGACAGATGCTTCTGTGGCTCACGGTGTCCTGTAACATTGTGTTAAACGTTCTCTCTGAACTTCCAGACTGGCTCTGACCTCTGTGCGTCTCTTCCAGTGGAAGTCCTAGAACGCAGAGTAGGAAGGATGGGTGAGTGGTGCGCGGCAGGAAGGCCGCTGCACCGTGATGGGTTTATGTCTCAGGGGCCTGTTCTCGCTGAAGGGCAGCAAGAGGAAGGCAGCTGGGCCCACAGCTCGGCCAGCCCTGCCGGAGCAGGCCCCCAGGGGAGAGCAGAAGTGTTCACCAGTGTCAAGGGGAGCAGCGGGGGTGCAGTTCTGGATGAAACGGAGTCAACGTGTCCCTCCCACTGAATGCCACTGTCAAACCTGAACAGGGACAGCGGAGAGCTTGGAAAAGTCAATGGTAGTAGGTGGGTCAAGGAGGAAACCAGAAATCAAAGTACCACTGACTCGCAGTGAGTTTCCTACTTGTCTTCTGTATCCCCCTGTCTGGGTTTGGGGCAGCCCCCAAATTTGAAAATGAGCACCAGGTGTGGATGAAAAGAGCTCCCTCTCGCTCTGGTCGATGTCCAGTTAACACTCAGAAAATGGAAGAAATCCCACCGTTCGTGACAGTCAGTTTGGTAGCATCTGTCAAGAATCTAAATCTGCTGCCTCTTAACCCTTCGTTCTGCCTCTGCAAACCTATCCCATTTGTACGTGTGCCGAGGGTGCTTTACTGTGGCTTTCACGTAATGGCAAATGAATGCAATAATTAATAAAGCGTTATGAAATTGCTACAGATGAAATGATGTTTAAAGTATACATCACACTGGGGCTGTAATGAACCTTTCAGGAGAGCGAGATGGGACCCCAGTGCGCTGGCCTGGGAGGGAGCCGTGATACATTGTCAAACAAGAAAGACGTGTGTTAAACAGGGCACCACCAAACCGGGTTTTGTGAGTGTATGTGTGTCTGTGACTATAACCGACTGGAAACGAGAAGGATAAAAACCAAACTGGTATCAGCAGTTGCTTCCGAGGAAGACAAGGAAGGACAGAAAAGGTACTTACACTCTTTATGTATCTGTGTGTGTGTATTTTAACAAAGAACAAGTATTATTTTTGACATTTAAAAAAAAACGGTAAAAGGCCTGCGTATGCAAGATGAATAACAATATCCTCCAGTGTTCTCATCTTGGAAATTCGCTAAGTAGTTTTCACTCTCTTCTGAGAATTTAGCATTTTGTTCAGTTTCCTTAAGAAAGGCCTATTATCTCCTTCGGCATCTCCCAGTCTGTACGTTCTCTGTTGCTCCATAACCAATTACCTTAAAACAAATAACCGTAGACATCGTCATGGTTTCTGAGAATCAGGAAGCTGGCAGGGTCCTGGCCGGATGCTTCCGGTCAGCATCTCTCATGAGGTTGCTGTCAAAATGTTGGCCAGGGCTGCGGTCACCTGAAGGCTTGACCAGGACTAGAGGGTCCCCTCACAAGTCCCTCGTACAGCTAGCTGTTGGCAGGAGAGCTGGGCTCCTCGCTGGCTCGTGGTCAGAGGCCTCTTTGAAGGCCACTCACAGCACAGAGGCTGGCTTCCCCTCGAGCGATGAGTCGGAGAGATGGAGTGACCAAGATGGAAGCTGCGGGACTTTTACAACATCATCTTAGAAGTGCCGTACTATCCCTAGAGTGCATGGTCACACAGACTGACCTTCGTACAGTACGGGAGGGGAATACTCTAGAACGTGAAGGCCAGAAGGCAGAGAGACCACTCAAGGCTATCTTGACGGCTGGCTACCACGACCGAACTTCCCCGCTCTCCTTCTCTTTCCCCTATGTTCACGGGCCTTCTAAGAGCTTGCAAAGTGCGGGTCTCCCCTACAGCCTCGCTGGTCCATTCAGGGGGGCCTGAACATCCATCCAACCCTTCATCAAAGAAAACACTGTGGACATACGAAATTCTCAGTCAAGGAACCCGACCTTTTCCTGTGAACAAGGGAGTTTGGACTTCCCTAAAATGTGACGAATAAGGAGAGTTTGGCGACACTGCAAAGAAAAGTAACTGATCAACCACGAAAGTATGGGGAGAGACCGGGCACCTCACCGAGGACCCCTTCAGCCGGGGGCATGTCATTTACTCCTACCCTGCAGCCCCTGCTCTGTCCCCACAAGTGAGGGTGGCTGCCTCTGCTCCCCAGTAGAAATTCCCATTGGCCATGGAGACAAGGGAGCGGGGATGTCTGCCAACTTGCAGATTGACAATGAAGGCTAGTAGAATCGTCTGTTACTGAGAAAATATTAGATGGCAGTCAGTAAAAGCTGTGACTCTGCACAAGAGTCATATGACTCTGCACAAGAACAACACGGAGCATTCCCAGGCATGGGACATCCGAAAATTTAGGAGAGAATTTCCTGGCATGTGTATATACCTGATTGCAAAAGACGGTTATTTATTCCTAGGAGTATAATTGAATGGTACTATTCTGTGGAGCATAGGTTCCACCAAACACTTAAGTCTTTCATAAGATGCTCATAGATATGATGGAGGAAGAAAAGTAAGAGTTGATTCATCAGAAGTTGAGCAATCCTAATGCAAAGAGTGTTGATTAAATGACTGCTGTCAACTTGAAAGAGGGAACGTGCCTTGGGGCTTTGAACTTGGCCTTGCCTCATTGAGCATTGCTGTAAACTACTTGGACAAAGAAAATGTGCTTATTGTGTTTTCAAGTATTATAGAGTTAGACAGGAGAGCCAAGAAGTTGGATAACAAGATCAGAATTTCCCAAGGTCTGCAACAGGCCGAAATGAGAAGGCAGAAGCCATGACATGAAAATGAGTCGGAAGCAGCATCACACGCTGCCCAGGTACAAAATGGGAGACGCCTGGCACAGGACCAGCAGGGGCAGGAAAGCTTGAAGTGAAATGCAGATTCAGTCTGAGTCAGCAGCTTACCAGCTCTGCCAAAAAGGCAATGCAGAAATCAGTCCGCCTTTGTGAGGACCACACTGCTCAGAGCCAGGGAGATGTTGGTCTGAGCAAATGTGGATTTCAACTCTGACGATGGGGATTCCTGGAATAATGAACAGATTTCTCTTTGATTACAGGTACCTTCTAACACCAAGGTTATACAGGCCTCTGTTTATAACACTCTCAGGTGACCCAGCCAGTAATTCTGTCAAAAAAGGAAATAAATGGATTCAACTCGTTTTTATTTGTTTAAGTGATAGTTATGGAGAAAACATATATTCCAGGTCCTCTGCTGAAAGCCAGGGACACAAAGGGACATCTTCTCCCAGTAATTCATCCAAACACCAGCGTAGGGACTGTTACACAGCAGTTTGGTCAGTGTGATTAAAAGCCCGGATTTAGTTAACCTCACGATGCAGAGATTGTTGGAGTGGGCCTGCTGCAATCATGTGGGCCCTTTAAAAGCGGAGTTCAAAGCATGCAAGGGACTCTGTGCCCCATTGCTGGCTGGGAAGTCGAAGGGGCTGCATGTGAAGAAGTCCTGGGGCCTCTAGGAGCTGAGAGCTGCCCCCAACTGACAAGCCAGCAGGAAAACGGAGACCTCAGTCCTACAACCCCAAGAATGAGCTAGGGAGAGGGCCTGGAGCCCCAGGGGAGAAAGGCAGCCTTGCCAGGGGATGGCCAAGCCCAGCATTCAGCCACATCCTACCCAAACCTCTGACCCACAGGAACTTGAGGGTCACAAATCGGTGTTGTTTTACAATGCTAAGTGTGTGACAGTTTGTTATACAGCACCAGAGATGAACGCAGGATGAATAGACAGCAGCTGCACGGTGAGGTAGCTGCTCTGATTGAGCAAACCCACAGTGTACATGGTTGGTCAATCCATCAAAATCTGTTTCCCCCTCTCTTGCCTAAATGAATCTCAGTTTTGTTCGGGTAGCCATGCCTCATCCACACCCGTATCCATGAGCTGATTGACGGCGCTCCAAGCTCCAGGCGTGGGGCTGATCTGTCTAAAATGGGGTTTCTCAGCTATGGCACTGTTGACATTTTGGCCTGGATAATTTTGAGGGCTGGCAGAGGGTGGGGTGGGAAGGTGCCCTACCCACTGTAGGATGTTTAGAAGCGTCCCTGGCCTCTACCAACTGTGTGCCAGCGCCATTATTTTCCCTGTCCCCCACCCGTGACAATCAACTATATCTCTAGATATTGCCAAATGCCTTTGATGGGGGGAGAGGGATGGGGAGCAAAATCACCCCACTTGAGGACTGTTGATCTAAAGACAAGTGTGCCCCTCCCCCCTCACCGCTGATGATTGGTTCATGAACAGGTACGTGACCACTTTGGGAAAAGGAGCTGTAACGAGAATTTGAGGGAGGTTCTGAGAATACCTTCCTCCCTCTTCCAGGAACGTTGCTGGAAGTAGCCCCGTTTCTCCTCCTCTAGAAGTTCTCACGCAGAGAAGTGGTCCCACGGGCTGCTGCAGCCATCTGACACCCAGCGTGGCGAGGGAGCCAGTGCTGAAACCTACCCTGCCTCCAGACTCCTGGTTACGGTGAGCCAATTAACTTCCTTATTGCTCGAGATAGTTAAAGATTATTCAAGAGGGCTCCAGGGAGAGCTGGTGTTCGCAGCTAACAGTTGCCTAACTCGTGCCAATGTCCAAGGTGACAGTGAAGCCCAGAGAACAGGGCACCTCAGAAAGTGGAGTCAAGACGTGGGAAGGAAAGAGGGCAGGCCCAGAAGAGTCCAGTGTATAGAGCGCGTCACACCACACGTCGTTTTAAAAAAGGTCTACTCACAGCAACTTTCAAGTGTGCAACCCAGATTTATTAGTATAGTCGCCATGCTGTACGTGACGTCCCTGTACATTTTGTGACTTCGTACCTTCTGAACCCCTTGTCTGTGTCACCCACCCAGCAGTCCTGCCTCTGGCAACCAGCAGTCTGTTCTCTGTATCTGCGAGCTGGGTTTGGGGTTGGTTGGTTTTTCTTTTTAGATTCCACATCTGAAGGAGATTGTATAGTACTTGTCTTTCTCTATTTGACTGATTTCACTAAGCATAATGCCCTCAGTGTCCATCTGTCTTGTTGCAAATGGCAAGATTTTGTTCCACTATGGCTGAATTATTATTCCACTGTGTGTGTATCACATTTTCTTTATCCATTCATCTGTTGACACTTAGGTTGCTTCTGTATCCTGGCTGTTGTAAAAAATGCTGCAACAAACATAGGGGTACAAATACTTTCCAGATTGGTGTTTTGTCCTCCTTTGGACACATACCCAGAGGTGGGATTGCTGAATCACGTGGCAGATCTATTTTCAGTTTTTGGGGGAACCGCTGCCCTCACTTCCGCAATGGCTGCGCCAGTTTACGATCCCACTAACAGGGCACAAGGGTCCCCTTTTCTCCACGTGCTCACCAACCCTTGCTCTTTCTTGTTCTTTGGATAAGTCATTCTGACAGGTGTGGGGTGATATCTTACATGGTTTCGATTTGCATTTCCCTGGTGATTAGTGATGCTGAGCTCTTTTCATGTATCTGTCGGTCATCCCCATGTCTTCCTTGGAGAAGTGTTGATTCCGGTCTTCTACCCATTTTTCAATCAAATTGTTTGCTTGCTTGATTTTGCTATGAAGTGGTGTGAGTTCTTTATGTATCTCCTATGTTAACCCCTTATCAGATGTAGGATTAGCAAAGCCTTTCTCCCACTCAGTAGACGGCCTTTTCGTTTTGTCGGTGGTCTCCACGCTGTGCAAAAACTTTGAGCTTGTCATAGTCCCACTTGTTCATTTTTGCTTTGGTTGCCTGGACCTTTGGCGTCACGTGACATCACACCTCTGACTCTGACACCACCTGGAAGAATTACTGTTGTCTTCATCTTGTGTCCCCGGGCAGCTAATGGCTTGTTCCTTGTTATAGGGCAGCCGCGGGTCCGGACTCAGACCCAGGTCTTCTCCAGCCAGATACGCTTTTCCCCGTGACTTCTTGTTGTCCTCCTGCTCAAAACTATTCAACACATTCCACTGCTTCCAGAAAAAAGTTTAAACTTTTGAGCTAAGGATTCAAAATTTTCCATAAACGTACCTCTACTGACCACTCCAAAATATGTAAATTGGCTCCAGTTGGGCCTTTTCTTGTGCTTCCCTCCCGAATAAACAGAGATGATTGCTGTTTCTTCTCCTCTTGTTTTAGCCCACTATTTATGAAGTCCAGGGTTATTCCTGGGATTATGCAAAATAGCCCTGGTTTTTGGTCAGGTTTCTTCCTCTTAACTCCTAGAGCATTGGCTAAGCTGTCATCACCCAGATGTCCTCCAGCGTCACCAGATGGGGTTCTGATAGCAGCCACCGTGGAAACAGGCACCAGTCCGGTCCCCACCTGCTTCTCTAGACCCTGTCTCCACGCACCTTCTCCTTCTCATTCACCCTCCCTGAGGTCTTCCTCTTGGGGGGCTTCACCCCCATTTCTGCACCCCTCTCGAGGTGAGAGTGCCAGCATCTATGGCAGAAAGGCTGCCTGCTAATGCCCTGAACCTCAGCCCTCACAGTCCAGGGTGGCTGGTTGTGGTGAGCCACACCAAAGAAGGTCACTCTTGGTCACGCAAAGGCCAGAGCAGCTTTGCTGGTGACTTTGCTCGTCCACCTCACACCCCAAGACAAAGTCCTACAAAAAAAAAACAACCAAAAAACTTTCTTCAGCTTCCATCTGCAGCCCTTTTCCTAGTGTGACTCAGTTGGAATGAACACAGACCCCACACTACCTGCTCTTGTCTTTGTCTCTATTTCTAGAAATACTAGCCACTGGGTTTTGACCACTTACTCTGGGCCAGGCATTATGCTTGGCACCTGACAACCTATCTCATTTAATCCTCACCCACCTCAGGGTAGGTATCCTTATTTTATTCACTTTACCAAATGGTCTCTCCTAGCTCTAAAAGCCTAAGTAACTTCCCCAAGGTCACACAGGTCACCAGAGTTGGACTTTTCCACAGCACCCTGCTCGAGGTACCAAAGGAACAGCCTCCCCTGTCTTCGCCAGTCGCAATCAAAAGCCCTTTAAGCAGGAGCTCACACAGACCCACCCTGCAGCGCCTGCTCTGCTGACGGCTCAACAGGCTGCAGCCAGCGTTCTAAATCATCGTGGCTGTGTTCTGAGTGCTCATTGTGGGCCAGGCGCGACTCTAACACTTTGCATTATTAATGCGTTTCATCCTCACCACAGCCCTGCCAGGCTTTATCATCATCCCCCATTTCACAAATGAGAACAAAACAAAAGCACTGAAAGGTTAGGAAACAAGCCTGAGGCCACGCAGCTCAGCAGGGGTGAGGATGCAGGCCGTCTGGTGCCGCAGCTCTGCTGTCACCGCCCTCCTGCGGATCAGTGAGCCTCTACGGTGCTCCCGTCCTCCCATACATTTTCTCTAATCTTCCCGGCATTCCAGCAAGAGTTCCACGTCCTTAGTCTTACACCCAAGGCACTGAACATCAGAGAGATTAAATAACCTTGCGTGAGATCTTGGTTCGTAAGAATACATGTCCAGATTTCATCGGCTCTGGGCTGTCCTGTCAAATCACTTGTCTTTTCAGGCACATGTGTTTTCTAGAACCCCAGCCAGCTTCCCTAGTCCATCTCTCCTCCCAGGACCTGAGAGCTATAGCTAGGCCTGTGTTCTTGGCACAGATAGGGGGAGAAAGATAAAAGAAGGTGGTGGCTGCCAGCTGCTGCTTCAAACAAAATAGATCCCCATTTACAAAAGCAGCAGGACTGGTTGCCTAGCAACAACTTTCTGCCTCCCCAACCTGTTCCACCCCATCCTTACCCACCGCACATCACACACACCCCTTGGCCTGCAGTGCCCTGTGAGACATCCCCACTCGAGGCTGCCTTTGTTCATTTTAACCTGATTTGCTGGGCAAATGCTTCCAGCTGGTGAGTGGCAGGAAGTCCAGGAAACAAATTTGTATCACAGATGGCCCCAGGGCAGGCGAGCAGACCCGTGCTCCCTGCATAGCCCGCACCTCCACGCGCCCAGGACATCCAATGCTGTGGGAAGGAGAAGGTCTCGTTTCAGGTTCTTTGTCACATCCCTGAAGGTTTTTTTAAAAAAGAGTTTTGTGTTTCACATATGTCAGGTCCTTTAAATAGTTCTTTCAAATAAAAGTTTAACTGGAATAGAGCTGAAGTAGACTGTCTGGGTTTCTTTTTTCATCTTATCGCCCATGTTTCGAGTTAAGAACCTCTTAAATTTAAACTTATCTTCAGTTCAACCAGCCCCACAGGCCTCGGGGCTATTTTTGTCTGGAGTCTTCAAGGGAGGTCGGACAAGGTCGGACAGTTCTCTGAGCTCTTCCCTCAAGCATAAACAGGAAGGGACAACAGTCACGCAGCCCCTGACAAGTCCCGAAGTCTCACCTTGCAGCGAGCAGGTGGCCTCGGGCCTGAGAGCCAGGCCAGCACCGTCCCTCCCTCAGGCCCCTGTGTCCAGAACAAGAAAGAAAAAATGATAACAGTTGCATTTGCCAACTGTGCTGGTATAAAGACAAACAAAGTCCCGGCTGGATTCATTAATATGTGCATTTATTATCTATATTATGCTATGTTTATTTTTTTCTGAGTGTAAAAAAAAAAATTAAAACATTTCGTGGGCCCCTGAAGGGATTGTGGGTTGAGGTCTCTGTGCCCGCTGTGCCCCATGGACAAGGTGGCCCTGCCGGGGGCAGCCCAGCATTACCGAGACCTGGGTGCCAGCCTGGGGCTCAGAGCCAGGCGGCGGGGGAGATGGGAGGTGCGGTGCTTGTACCCAGGAGGCCCCCGGCCTGGCTGGGGAGAAGAGCAGAGGTAAGGATGGCAGTCACTGCCCCACAGACACAGCGTGGCCGCCACCAAGCTTATCATCTGAGGCTCCTTTCTTCTTAAGTAGATGCGTTCCCATTTAAATGCATAATGCATTTCGAAAACACAGCAGACTGGGAAAAGTCCAGAGAGCTGGGAGGTAGCTCCGACAAGTGTGGGGGTGGTTCGGGCGTTGGTTGGGGTTAAAGACAGTCAAGGAAGATTCTGGGTTCAGGGCTTAAGTGACCATCTGCACGCACAGCACATGCAGAAGAGGGGGCTCAGAGGAGGAAGCAGGGAGTCTGGTGTCGGACAGGCTGCGTTTGAGACGCCTTTGGAGGGTGCGAGGCAGAGGCCAGGGCTGTTTCACTCCCCACTGGAGTCCCGTCTCCCCGCAAGTGGAAACACGTGGAGAAATCCAGTGACTAGTTGCCTTTATTGGTCTGATGCCCAAATCAGACACCTGGACCGAGCTGGAGACTGGGATGTTGTAGAGACCCTGGCCCCTGAGATTTACTTTCCACCCGAAGCTCAAGGGAACAGCTGCCACTTCCTGCCTTGTTCTGGCCTCAAGAATAGGCTTGGCCCCTACGAAGGATGAGTTGGAATTGCCAGAGAGTTAACGCCCTACATTCTAAGGCCTTGAAGCGGCCCTCAACCAGAGATGGACAGGAAGTTGGTTCTCTCTCTCTTTTTTTAGTTTTTAAAAGATTTTATGCATTTACTTTGAGAGAGAAGGGAAGGGAAAGAGAAAGAAAAGAAGAGAAACATCAATGTATGAGAGATAATAATTGGCTATCTCTCGCATACCCCCAGCTGGAGATCTGGCCTACATCCCAGGCAGGTATGTGCCCTGACTGGGAATCGAACTGGTGACCTTTCGATTCATAGGCTGGCATTCAATCCACTGAGCCACACCAGCCAGGGCCAACCCAGCTTCTTCATTCTTCCATTGGGATAACTCTTTCAAGGCACAGGCTATCTAGTCTCCCAGAATTCCCCAGTGAGACTATTTCTAGAGCCCCGGGGGGCACTGGAAACACCTTGGCCACGCCTTTATTGGTATGGAAGGCTTCTCTGGGCACAGGGCTCTGTAGCCAGCTTTATGACCATGTGCATCTGGAAGGAAAGGGTTGGCATCCTTAACAGATGATCGTGGACTTCACTTGACTGCTCACTACTTACGGGCAGAGAGCTTGCCAGCTCAGAGGCAGCCCATTCCATTTTCAGGTAGATCTAGTTACTGGGAAGTTCTTTCTCAAAGTGAAATCATGTAAGTTTATGACTTCAACCCCTTGGTTCTACTTTTATTTTTAACTAAAAGCTTTATTTTGAAATGTACAATTAAATGGTGTTTCCCCTATTAATAGAGCTGTGCGACCGTCACCAGCCCAATTTTAGAACAGCTTTATCATCCCCAAAGGAAACAGCAAATCCTCTCACTGTCACTGATTAGTCCCCCTAATCCTCACAGCCCTCCCCTAGTCCTGGACAATCACTGGTCTATTTTCAGTTTCCACGGATTTGCCTTTTCCCATACATGAACTTGCACGTGTCCTTCTCTGAGGGACTCCTTTCCCTCAGCATCATGTTTTCGAGGTGTATGCATGTTGTAGCATGTGTCACTACTTCGTTCCTTTTCAGAGTCAAAGAATATTCCACTAGGGACAGGTCATGTTTCATTCATTCACTTATCAGTTGATGAGCATCTGGGTTGTTTCTCTTTCTGGGCTAGTCCGAGTAGTAAGGTTGCTGTGGACATTTGTGTACAGGTTTTCGTGTGGCTGGGTTTTAATATGGGGGATACCTATCTAGGAGTGAAGTGGCCGGGTCACGTGCTGACTCTCCGTTTGTGTTTCTGAGGAACTGCTGGACCATTTTCCGTAGTGGCTGTGCCGATTCACCTTCCAATCAACAGTGTGCGAGGGACCTACGTTCTCCTCGTCCTCACCAAAAATTGTTATTTCATGTCCTTTTTACGATAGCAGCCATAGTAGATGTAAAGTGGTGTCTTGTGGTTTTAATTTGCACTTCCCTAAATGACTAATGATGATATGAATCTTTCACATACTCTTTGGCCATTTGTATATCTTTCTTCTTGGAAGAATTATCTATTCAAATCCTTTGCCCATATTTAATTGGGATATTTGCCTCCATGTTACTGAATTGTAAGACTTATTTACATATTCTAGATACAGATCTCTTATCAGACAAATGATTTACAAGCCTTTTCTCCCATTCTGTGGGCTGTCTTTTCCACTTTCTTATTCCCTTTGAAGCACCAAAGCTTTTAATTGTGGTGAAATCCAGTCTACCCATTTTTTCATTGGTGGTTTATTCTTTTGGAGTCATATCCAAGAAATCTTTGGCTAATTTAAGCCCATGAACATTTCTAGCGATGTTTTCTTCTAAGAGTTTTATGGTTTCATTTCTCCCCTTCGGTCTGCAACCCACTTTGAGTTAACGTGTGTGTGTGTGGTAAGAGTCCACCTTTATCCTTTTGCCTGTGGCTTCTTGGAAAGACCACCATTTTTTTAACATACTTTTTGAAAGGACTATTGAATTATCTTGGCACCGATGATGAAAATTGACTGACTATGAACACGAAGGTTTATTTTCGGACTTTCAATTCTGCTCCTTCGATCAGTGCAGAGACCCTGGCGTAAAGTGCCACACAGTGCTGGTCATGGCAGCCTTGCAGTCAGCTTCCAAGTAAAGAAGTGTGAGTGTACCACTGTGTTCTTCTTTTTCAAGATCACTTTGGCTCTTCTCAGTCCCTTGCCCTAGCATTTCTGTATGAAGGTTAGAATCATTTTGTCCATTTCTGCAAAACAGCAGCAGCAGCAGCGACAGAAAACACAAAGGCATCTGGGATCTTGAGTGGGATTGCGCTGAACCTGTAAACAATTTGGGGAGTAATGGCATCTTAACAATATTGTCTTGCAATCCATCGACTTGGGGTGCCTTTCCATGTATCTGTCTTATACTCTTTGTGTTAATTTTATTCCTATTTTCTTCTTCTGATGTTGTTGTAAATGGAATATTTTTTACTTTCATTTGTAGAATTGTTCATTGTTACTGTATAGAAATACAGTTCACACCCTGACCAATGTAGCTTAGTTTGCTGGGCATCATTACACAGAGCAAAAGTCGACGACTGCTTCAATTCCCAGGCAGAGTACATGCCTGGGTTGTGGGTTTGGTCCCCAGTCGGGGCACGTATGAGAAGGCACCAGCCAGTGTCTCTCTCTCACATTGATGTTTCTCTCCTCTCTTTCTCCCTCCTTTTCCCTCCCTCTAAAAATAAATAGATAACATTGAAAAAGAAGAAATCCAATTCACTTTTGTGTATCACTGTTATACCTATACCATCACTTATTAGTTCTAATAGTGTTTTTGTGGGTTTCTTATATACAAAATTACAACATCTGTAAATAGAGATTGTTTTACTTCTTCCTTCCAATCTGCATACCTTTTATTTTTTTGTCTTGCCTAATTGGTCTTGCTTAAACCTCCACTACAATGTTAGTGGAAGCAGGGAGAAGAAACATCCTTATTTTCTTCCTGATCTTAGAGGAAAGTGTGCAATATTTAGCCATTAAGTGTAATGTTAGCTGTGGGTGTTTCATAGATGCCTTTTGTTAGGTTGAGGAATTTTCCTTTTATTCCTAGTATTTTGAGTGTTTTTGTCATGAACTAGGTTCGTTTTTGTCAAATGCTCTTTTGGCATTTATTGAGATGATCACGTACCTCTTGTCCTTTATTCTACTAATCCAGTGTATGAGATCAACTGGTTTTTGTGTGGTAAGTCAAGTTTGCATTCCTGGGATGAATTCCTCTTGCTAATGATGTAGAATTCTTTTTAAGTTGCCAGGTTTGGTTTGCTGATATTTTATTGATGATTTCTGCTTCTATGTTTAGAAAATACATTGATACACAGTTTTCTTTTGTCGTATTGTTTTTGTCTGATTTCACTATCAATGTAATATTGTCCTCATAGGATGAGTTGGGAAATATTCCCATCTCTTTTGTTTTTTTGGAAGAGTGTATGAATTATTGATGCTATTTCTCCTTTAAACCTTTGGTATAATCCACCAATGAAGCCAATTAGGTGGGGGTTTTTCTTTGTAAGAAGTGGCTGCAGGTTTTGTATTTTGTTTTGTTTTTTTAACTGGTTCAATCTCTTGTTATAGTTCTACGCAGAGTTTCCACTTCTTCATGAGTCATTTTTGGTAGTTTATGTCTTTCTAAGAATTTGCTCATTCAATCTAGATTATCTAAATTTTGGCACACAGTTGTCCGTTACATTTGCTTACAACCCATTGTATTTCAGTTTTCTAGTGATTTTCTCCTTTTCTTTCCTCATTTTAGTAATTTGGGTCTTTTCTGCCTCTCCCGTCTCTTGGTTAGTCTGGCTAACGGTTTGCTAATTGTTTTGACCTTTTCGAAGAACTAATTATTTGGGGGGGGTTGTTTATTTTCTGTAATACAATCATGTGTCACATGAGAGTGACATTTCAGTCAATGACAGACTGCACATTGGACAGCGGTCCCACAAGATTATGAGCTGAAAACTTCCTATTGGCTGGTAGCATGGGAGCTCTTGTGCTGTCCTTCCAGCACAATGCGTTAAGTGAACACCACTGTGTTACAATCGCCTGCAGTATTCAGCACAGTAACATACCATACCAGTTTATAGCCTAGCAGCTTCAGGGAAACAGAATTTGTCACCCCCAAATCCATCTCCTCGGCAGGCTGGTTAATTTTAAGAAAGAGCAGGCATGCGAGAAGCTTGGCAAATCAAGCAGAAGTTACCCCTAGTAACATACATTTACAGATGTGCGGAAAATCTCCATTTGTGAGGGTGTTTTGCCTCATGCTTACCTAGTGGGGGGGGGGCTGACCTTACCTGTAGAACTCTCATCTGTGCAGAAGAGCATGACTTAAACATGCGTAACAACCTCAACCTTGTTTATTGTGCTTTCCCCAGTCACCTCCCGTAACTGGCTTCGTCTGCCCCCAGCAGCTTTTGCCTTCAGCTCGAGATGGTGTTCAAGCTGCTGGCTTAAGCATTTTGGTGAGTTACTCGGTTTTCCTTGTTCTCTCCCTTATATACAGATGTATACATACTTAATTCCCACATATCTGTGAATTTCTCCAATTTCTCTCTGTTTCTGGTTTCCAGTTGCATTTCGTTGTGGTTGGAGAATATGTTTTACATAATGTCAACCTGCTTAAGTGTTTTGTGGCTTGTTTTATGGCCTAACAGATGGTCTATCCCGGAATGTTCCACATGCAGCTAAGAAAGCATATTCCATGCTCGTTGGGTAGAGTGTTCTGCAGAGATCTAGTAGGTCTAGTTGCTTTATAATGTTCAGATCTCCGATTTCCTGTTGACCATCTGCCTAGGTGTTCTGTCCATTATTAAAAGCGCGATAGGGAAGTTTCTAACTATGGTTGTTCAGCTATTTGTTTCTTTTTTCAATTCTGTCAGTTTTTGCTTCATGTATTTTGGGGCTCTATTGTTAGGTGCATATGTATTTATTATTGTTGCATTTTTCTAACAGATTGAACTTTTTCCATTATAAAATGTCCCACCACGGCCAGCATGGCTCAGGGGCTTGGAGCATTGTCCTGTGTGGTAGTTGCCAGTTCAGTTCCTGGTTGGGGCACATGCCTGGACTGCGTGTTCAATCCCCAGTCCAGACATGTCTGACCCCCAGTCCAGTGTATGCAGGAGGTGGCAACTCGATGCTTCTCTCTCATAGGATGTTTTTCTCTCTCCCTTCCCCTCTCTCTAAAAAGCAATGAGGGAGTACCCTCTGGTGAGGATAAAAAAAAATGCATATTAAGAAAAATGTCCCTCTTCATCCCTAGTAACATTTTTTTGTTTTAAAGTCTATTTTGTCTCATATTAGTGAACCTCTTGTGTTAGTTTCCTATTGCCTCTGTAGACAGATTACCACAAATTAATGAGTGGCCTAAACACCACACTATCTTACACAGAACTGCACTCCTGTTGAAGGCTCTGTGGGAGAATCCATTTCCTAGCTTACTCCAGCTTCTAGAGGCTGCCTGTATCCTTCAGGTTCTGGCCCCTTCCTCTGTCTTCATGGTCAGCAGTACAGCATTTTCAAATCTTTCTCTCCATCCCTCTCCTCCAGGTCCCCCCCCCCACCATCTCCTCTGCTTATCATCATATCCTCTCCATCCCTGACTCTCCTGCCTCCTCCCTCTTATAAAGACCCCGATGATTTAAGTTGGCCAAACTGGGTAGTCCAGAATAATCCGTAGTTTAATCATATCTGCAAAATTCATTTTGCTGTGTAAGAGAACATTTCCACACATTCTCGTCATTAGTCCGTAGGCGTCTTCCAGGGAGGGGGCATTATTTAGCCCACCATATCAATCTAGCTTTGTTTTCATTGCCGTTCACATGTTATATCTTTTGGATTTACTGTTGACCTTCAAACACAGTCTCGATAGGATCTCTTACCCATCTTTGCAGGTGAACCATTCCAGTAACTGTTAACCATTCTTGGTCTGGTTTTGGATTTTATCATCCCTGGCTTCCCACTCTTCATGCGTTAATGATATTAGGGTAATAATCACTGTAAATCAGCAACAAATACTTATGGAATGCTTGCTCTGTGCCACTACTATGCTGGCCTCTTCACACTAATTGTTTCATTAATGCTATGACAACCGGGGAGGTAGGTACCGTTATCTGCGTGAGGTGTAAATAAGAAGACCGAGGCTCAGAGAGGTTCAAGAACTTGCCAGAGTTTCATAGCCAGCGAGTGGCAGAGCAGAATACGAACTCACATACCTAGATTCAGGACCCCCCTTTCTTACTCATCTTTTTAAAAATAATTTATTCGTTTATTTGTAGAGAGAGAGGAAGGGAAGGAGAAAGAGAAGGAGAGAAACTCAATGTGTGGTTGCCTCTTGTACACCCCTACTGGGGACCTAGCTCGCAACCCAGGCATGTGCGTAGACTGGGAATCAAACCGGCAACCCTTTGGGTTACAGGCCCGCACTCAATCCACTGAGCCACACCAGTCAGGGCCTTATTCATCTCTTAAAAATATCCCACCTATTCCACTAAATCCAAGCAATATCTGATTTGATAATGTAACAAAAGAGGCAGCACATATGATAAGAGATCACTGGGCAGAATTGTACCTCTTCTCAATATGCTTCTAAAGGCACCTAGAATAATATTTCCCAAGTGCTGACTGTGACTATCTCCGAGTGATGGAATTCAGGGGACTTTTATTTGTCTTCTTCATTATGGTTCATGTACTGTTAAGTTTTTTATGTTTCTTGAGTTTTTATGATTAATGTTTATTTCTTGTCTTTTTCCATTTTCTCGTCCATCCATAGGCAAACACTAATCTACTTTCTGTCTCTGTATATTTTCCTATTTTGGGGGCTTTCTGTATGAATGAAATTATATGATATGTGGCATTTTGTGTCTGGCTTCTTTCACTGAACATAATAGTTTTGAGGTTCACCTGTGTTGTAGCGTATACTTTGGTCATTTTTACTGCAGATGGTATCTCATTACTTGGATAATGCTATACTATTAATCCATTCATCAGCCTTTTAAAAAATCAATGATTCAGCTCTGTTGAGGTATAATTGACAAATACAATAGCATATATATATATATGCTATATATATAATCTAAGATGATTTGACACGCATGTTCTTTGTGAAGTGATTACCATAACCAGTTTGGTTAACGCATCCATCACCTCATGTCGTTACCTTTTAAAATAATCTATTCATCATCTGGTAGGCAATGGGGAGGGGTTTGTTTTTTTAGTACCGCAAATAATATTGCTACGTGCAAGTGCAGACGAAGTTTGGTGTGGACATGTATTTTTATCTCTCAGGTGCCCAGGAATGAAACTGCTGGGTCATAGAGCAAGTTCATGTTTGGCTTTTTAAGAAACTACCAAATGTTTTTGCACAGTAGCTGCTCCATTTGACATTTTCACCGCCAGTTTCCAAATGCTTCGATTTCTCTGCCTTCTTGACAACCCCCGCTGTCGTCCATCTCTCCTGTTCTAGCTATTCTGCTGGGTGAGAAGTGGCCTTTCACTGCGGTTTCAATTTGCATTTCCTAACGACTAACAACATAAAGCATTTTCTCATATGCTTTCATCAGTCATTTGTATGTTTTTTCCAACATGTATCATCTTTACAATGAACAAAACTATTTTGGGGAATTATTTTGATATCTAGCGTTGGACCCCATCATCCAGATGATACCTGGTCAGCACGGAGGGTGAGAGTCTGGTCGCCTGCGGCTCGGACTCCGTGCTTCTACCCTGCGGGCAGGAAATGGAGCTGACTTCTTCTAGCAGGCACCTTATGCCATAGCCTCGAATGAAGCCTGTGGTCGACCTAGTCCCCCAGATCCTGTTCTCATCGATTATCGTGGACTGGGTGTCTCCCACTTTCTATCTGGGCAGTTGGCTTTATTGGGCTTAGATTCTAGAGCTAACATTTATCCCTGTTGAACTTTACCTTGTCCCCTGAGACCCATATTGTCACCTGTAAAAATCAGCTTTTATTTTAAGTCTGCCGTCTTAGTTCACCTACCTGGCATTGCCACTTCAGATGTCAGAATATCTGAAAAGTGAGATTGTTTTAGTCATTATTTTTTTCTTGTCTTTTCAGAAGCAAAATGAATTTGTACTTTTCCATAAGCAATACAAGGACTCGATTACAATGCAGGAAATGTTTTTTTTAAAAAGCATCTCAAAAATAAAACTGATGTAGAAGACCTACAAAACCATATATTTTGTTTTTCATGATCAACACAGGAGCGTATCTTTAATACGTGAAAGGCTGTTAAGAGTGAGCACTGCCACTAAACGTTGCTTCCTAGTAACGGCCAGCAATGAATTTAGGTTGTAAAAACGGGATTGATGAGAAGAGGAAGCACACGCAATGTCGTTGAAATGAAGACGCTTCACATGTAGGGCGTTCTGTTCCCTTTAGAGTCTTTCTACTTTCACTCTCAGTGGGAATCTCTTTTCCTGGAAATGCTGGAAGTGATTTATTGTCACTTTAAGCACTGATTACTTTACCCATGACCCATTCACCTCCCAGGTCTCCCTGGAAAAATCCTTGGGTCTTCCCGGACCACCCTGCCCCCCTCCCTTCCCTGAGGGCCCTGAGCAGAACTGAGCGTTCGTTCTCCTTGGTTCACAGCCAGGCCCTCCTGCTCTGTCCAGGGTCTGCCTCTGTGTCTTTGCCTCTGGTTGGTCCGCTCTTCAGCCTCAGCACCCACTCCCCGCCTCCCCCAGCGCCTACTCCGGTGCAATTCATGTCCTTCAGTCCTGTGTTTAGGTAAAAGCGCGTTTATTGTTTTTAAGTGTTTATATGTTTGTCTTTAAGTTATACTAAAAAAATGTTGTGCTTTAAGTCTTATTTTGTTTCTTACTTCGGTCTCTGGCTTTCTGTTTTGGGGAGACACCCGTGTGCCCCCCGCCCGCTGCAGCCGCACTAGCAAACGCACATGCCGAGTGCACTTTCCACGCACTGCACTGTGGCCCCCCGCAGCTGCCTCCAAAACACTTCCTGAGCATCCGTGTGAGTTTCTGGGACACGCTGTTCTTTACGATGGGCAGAGAAACTGCCCGTGAAGAGGAAGGTGTAGTGTCTCCGTATGGGCAGTTTCTCTGAGGTATGCACCCAGGAGGCAGATCGCTGAGTCACAGGATCATAGGATCACACACACTTCAGTAAAAATTTGCCAGGTTGTGCCCTGGCCAAGTGGCTCAGTGGGTTGGGGCATTGTCCCATGCGCCAAAAGTTTGCAGGTTTGATCCCTGGTCAAGGCACATACCTAGGTTAGGTTGCAGGTTCGATCCCCAGTCGGGGTGCATATGGGAGGCAACCAATTGATGTTCCTCTCTCGCATTTCTTTCTCGCTCTCTCTCTCCTCCCCTTGCCTCCTCTATCTCTAAAATCAGTAACTATTTCCTAAGGTGAGGATCAAAAAACAATTGCCAGGTTGCTCCCTAGAAGAGCTGCAGGAG